TCCTTAACAGCAACCCAGTATAGTGCTATCATACACGTTTTCTTGAAACCTACGCCCCATGACCGCCACGAGCCTTCCTAACCAATAAAGCCTAAACCCTAGCCCTTTACCCGAACTAACTCCTGTGAACCTACAAGAAGGTTCAGAGTCTTGGCCTGCCACAGGCCCAGGCTTGCCAAGCAGCTCCTACGCAGTTCCTTTTCGGGTTTGGCGCGTGTTTTTTAAAGCTGGGTTGTTGTTAAGGAACTTACTTCAAGCTACTATATTGGGGAAACCCAATTGATTACTATATATATATATACCTATACCCATGATGGTAACCTAGCTTAAGTTCCCTAACAGCCACCCAGTAAGTTAAGGGTCTAAATACACTACACGAGAAAAGAAGGGGCTACATAGGAGGCTCCAGGTCTGTGTCCGCAGATGGAGGTTCCGGGTTGCTTTAGGGTTGAAGGTTTAGATGTTTAGGGTTTAGGGTTCAGGGTTGAGGGTAGGTTTTGAGCAAAGGCTGTGGTTGTAGAGCTTACGGTTCCCATCGAAAGGGTTTGTGGAGGAATCCTTCAGGTCTCTTTGCGGAAGGAGCTTGCGAGGCTCTAAGCTCAAAGTTGGGTTATAGTCAATATTTACCATGTAAGTAATTGACATGGGTTCCTGTTATTAGGGAATCTATGAGGAGGACCCCCCACGATGTAATAGTGGTGTAATAGGAATATAAGAAGACACTAATATAATCCCTATTATCCCCTATAGTCACTAACGGACTGTGCTAAACTTATAAAGGGACTCCTATGTCCACCCATTTTCGGCCCCTGCGTAACCTTAAAGTTGACAGTCGCTCCATATGATTAAGGAAGGCTCTATACCAGGACTTTCCTTGTACCCTTAATTGGGGATATATGGTCCCTAATAATAGGTACTTGGCCCTAATAGAGGGTAGGAGAAGGCTCTATAGGGTGGTTGTGATGCGGATAGCAATACAATTCATAACTCAATCTTCCTTATTAGGCTTGAAATTAAAAACCAACACAAAACTTACTTGTTCTAATGGTAGAATACCCTAAGCCCGAAACCCTAAAGGAACACCCTAAACCCTACAATGAGCCAGATACAGGGTTTCGGACGTACGGAGGGCTCCAAGAATATACATGCGGGGGTTCACAACACAAGGAGTTTTTACAGGTAAGGTAATCGCAAAAGGAATATAGGCTAGGTACAAATATGGTCTAGGGTTTAGGGTCATGAAGGGGGTTATGTATTAAGTAAGGATGAAAGGAAATCATATGGAGAGTATTAGAGCTAATGACAGAGTTTTGGAAACCCCAACCCTCAAATTAAGGACCCTGCTACATCAAATGACCGTGGCGCTGTCGTTGTTTGGGGGGTTGACCTCTGTATTGCGAGACCTTCCCATCAGGATTTCATGTTGCGGGGTACAGCCCAAAGCTTGGAACGCAGAGAAAGAGGACAATTTTCGTTTCCCCTACCAAGGAAGTAAAAGAAAGGAAACGAAAAAGGTAGCCCTCAGCTATAGACCCTAGATCCTAAGCCCTAAACTCCAACTCTAAACCCCAAGTTGAGCCTAAAACATGAACACGCGTGGAGCTCAATGCCCTTATTGGAGGAGTATACCTTCAACCATACTAGGACCCTTTGAATGGTTTAGGACATATTCCTCAACTAAGGGGTATTTATTGGTCTCCCTGATTCATTAACCAAATTAATCAGACTGAGCGGCCTCACAAAGAAGATAGAGCATAGTTAGGGTTTGGGGTTTAGGGTTTAGGGTGGAAGCTGTGTGTATATAGAGGTGATGCGGATTGCATATACCAACAAGCGGGGAGTTTGGTTTCGAAGCCGCGTTGACCCTAAACCCTAAAGCCTGGACCCCAAAAAAACCCGAAACACTAAACCCTGAACCCTCAAACCATTTAAACCTTGAACCCTAAACCCTAAGCCCTAAATAGTAGTTTCCATCCTCTTTTCCAGTGTCCATATATCTATCCCCAATATAACGCAATATCTCCCTAATGTAGGCCCAATATATCCCAAAATAACCCTATTTTATCCCCAATATAACCCAAATATATCCCCAATGCAACCCTAAACCCTTAGCCCGAAACCCCTAAACCCTTAACCCTAAGCCCTTTAACCCTCGAGCCCTAAACCCTAAACCCTCGAACAGCCCTAAGCTAGCAGGCCTCGGACGTGGCGCCTGACCGAACGGTGTCGGCTGGGCGTGCATGCTCCTCCTTCCAGGATTAGGGTACAGGGCTTAGAGTTTAGGGTTCAGGGTTCAGGGTGTAGGGATTGGGGCTTAGACACGCGCATCGCACACTGCAAGCACGGCAGAAAACGTTCAGGTTGGCACTTCACCACTACTCTACCACACTCGACCAGACGGCCAAAACAGGACTCAGCGATCAGGCTACTTCCTTACGCTTGAATGCCACGGCAAGGGCTCATGTATCTTTGCTGGAAGGACAAACTGGTACCGGTTCCCGCCGAAGTGGACCTCGAGGTGGCCGAATGACCCGAGCAGGCTCTTTTTGCGCCCTTAGCATCCTTACGAAGCGGCGTGCCAAGAAGCCACGAAACAGTGCCTGCAGAAGCGTGGCCGCCTTCTGTCGGCGGGTCTCCTGCACTGCCAGACGGTGCAAGAGATCCCATGACAGCATCTGCGCTTCTGCCCAGTCGCCGGTTGCTTGGACTAAATGAGCTCTTGAGCCATGGGGTTTAGGGTTTAAGGATTGGGGCGCGGGGTTTAGGGATTGGGGTATTGTCATGGTGTTTTGGTGAGCGGATATACTTAGCTACTTATGACCCACACGGAACTACGTAGCAGGCTCTGGCCAAGCTTGTCCCAACAGATGTTAGTGTAGCGGGCCCAGCTGGGTGTTGATCCCCCCTACATACCCTAAAGCCTCACCTGAACTATAAACCCTAAACCCTTCTGAACCCTAAACCCTGAACCCCAATCCTGAAACCCGATTACTGGAGCCCTTAGGGGTTCTGAGGGATATGTAGAGTTTAGGGTTTGTAGGGGTTGAACCCCAACCCCGAAACCGTAAACTCCAATCGCTAAACCCTAAATCCTAAGCCCTCTGCGGTTGAGGGTCTAGGGTGTAGGGCGTGCTAGTTTGGTGGAGGCGGGCGTAGACGGAGGCAACGCATGATCCTGTCAGAAATCCCCTGAGCAAAAAAACTTGCACACCCGCCCCAACCCATAACAGTCATACGTAGGACCCTGAGTAGGGGGTATAGTATAACTACAAGTGCAAACTTTTGGGATTGATATATTGCCGGGAGCAATATCCAATCTCAGAGCAAAACCCAAAACCCTGCATCCCGTCTGAACTTAGCAGCGTAAACGCGAAACCCAGAACTTACCACCTAATCAAACCCAACACCTCCAAGCCCTGAGCACCTAATGCAGGGCAGTGCCTTCCGAAAACAATGGTCTCCTTTACACACCCCCAACCAGGCTAGGTTCCCCCGTGACCCCTGAGTGACAAGGGTACCCTTTTTCCTTACATTCAGTTATAATAAGGAGACCCTCAAAAAACTGGAAAAAGGGTACTACTGGGGTACCTAGCACCAGAACTCCCGTATTCAAAGCCGTGTGTAAACCATACCTACATTGGGCCCCAAGGTCTACAAATGTTCTTTTGCGAATCCTATGTTGTGAAATCTGCTTCGAGGGTCACCCTACAACCCTGAGGGTCCAAGTACCAAATAATCATATACTTACCCAAAACCCGTACCACAATTACTAGTACTAAAAATCCAAGTACCCAACGATTGGGTACTTGAACCCTCTAGGAAAGCCACAAAGCATCCCCGGTTATCCTCACTGTTAACTTACCACCTCCGACTCTCCAAGTGTACCCCTAGGAATCCAAATATATATATATATATATAATACCTACATTGGGCCCCAAAGTCTGTAAATATAACCTACATTGGGCTATTTGGATCCCTAGGCCCTAAACTAAACCCTATACCCTAAACCCTATACCTTGAACCCTATATTACCTATATTGGGCTATTTGGATCCCTAGCGTATCCCTTAGACCAGCCGGGCGCCGGACTTTTGAGCGCCTGCTTTCGCTGAGATGTCCTTGGGCATCGCTCTGGGCCTGAGAGCTCATTGTTCTTACTGTAGGGTTTAGATTTTAGGGTTTAGGGTTTGCGAAGAGGAAAGATCATAGGGCCAAAGCCGGACGGGTTTTCAAGATCGAGAGCGTGTCCGATCGGCCTCGGAGTGCGCTAGAGGCTCCTGAGGACGGGGGCCTGATCGGCCACGCCTTTCTTTCTTGCCCTCCCG